AAAGGGGTTTTTAGAAAGATTCTAAAAGTTGTTGTCCATTTTTGGAAAGTGGTAATTTTCAAGTTTCCTTTTTAAAGCGAGTCAAAAGTAATTTTTGAAATTTTAACTATGTGGTAAAAGGTTAATAGCCAAATTTTTGCTGACTTATTGCATGTGTGTGCGTGTGATTTATGTGGAATTCTAAGCCTAGTTGGTTTTGAATTTTAGAGTCATAGTATAGCCGAAATTGTGAAGCTAAAAATTAGGGTTTCCTAGTCCTAGTTAAACTTTAATTTTGGTTGTCTATTTGTGTTACACTTGGAGACCTATTCGGTCTAGTACTAGAGTGTTCACATGGACGAAAATTTTAGCCCTAAAATTAAGGCCATTGAGTCCAAATATGTTATGATTTGAGTCCTATTCGGTTTTGGAGTTTTGTGTTCACATTGGCCGAAAATTTGCTGCCTTCGTTTCCTAATTGTAATACAATTTTATTGTGTGTTTTATTTGAGTCCTACTTGGATTTACATACTAATTTTTGCATGTGTTAAATTATAATGTCAGTGAGATTATAATTAGAGTTTTAAAGAAAACTATTGAGATAAGGAAGTCTTATCCTAATCTGAAAGATTTTGAGTCTTCTAATACAAATGTGCATGTGTGTGGCCGTGTATTTGATTCCTAATAGTAGTAGGGGGTCGAAAATTTTATCTCTAATTAGTAAGGATGAATTTTCCTAGTTTGTGTCCAAAAAGGATTATGTTTACCTAAGTTTTAGGACTCTATTCTTGTCTATATATATGAGGCTGGTTTTTCCTTCTTCTTTATTCCATCTTGTCGACCAAATTTCATCTATTAAAGGGGGGGGGGAATATTTTTGAGAAAATTTAGGTCCTATGTTGTAGGAGTTTTCTTGCACAAAAAGACTTGCATTGCCTATAAATAGGGGTGCTGTTTTTCGAAAATTCTCACACCACTCTACTCCTTTCTTCTTCTTCTTCTTGCTGCCGAGATCACAAGGGTAAATTAAGAGAAGCACTCTTCTCTTTATTTTGAATTTTTGAGAGTTCGTGTTCTTAAAAGCACAAGAGAGTTTTTGTGTTTGGGGAGAGCTTTATTTGAACCTTCCTTTGGTTCTTGGGGGGGGGGGGGTTTCGGCCGAACCTACAGTGGTTCTAGGGTTCAAGGAGTTCTTTGTGTAGTACCAAAAGCACAATCACTTCTTTTTGGTGGTTTTTCAACTTTGTTGATTAACAATGAGTTCTGAAATTGCTGGTTGTTGTCAAACAGCAATAAAGGGTGTTGTTATACAAGCAAAACCCAAAGATAAGGAGGCAATCAAGGCTCTATGTGGCATACTACGCTGCCTTAGAAGTGGAGAGAGAGCATGATACTTCTTGTGGTTGGAATGGTCCAATTGAGGATCAAGGGTTGGTGTTTGGCGCTGAAGATGGTGATCAACGGACATGTATCTTCTGTACTAAGTGTTCGGTTGGGTGGTCCAATGAAGTTGATTTGGTAATCGACAGTGGGTCGAGTACTGATTGTATAAGTGAGGAATTTTGCGTAGCAAACGGAATCAAGATGGATCCGCATACTAGACCATACAAGCTTCAATGGTTGAGTGAAGAAATGGTTGTGGATGTCACTAAGAAGGCCATGGTATCTTTTCAAGTTGGTGAGTATAGGGATAAAATTTACTTTGATGTAATTCCTATGTCTCTTTGTGATATTTTGCTAGGTAGGCCTTGGCAATCAGATGTAGATGTTGAGCACCATTGCTCGAAGAATATCTTTGTCTTTACTAAAGAGGACAGAAAGTATATTCTTAAGGCTTTGGCTTATGAAGAACCTGAATCTGTGCGAGAGAAAAGACGTAAGATAACCTATACACAAGGGAGAGAAAAAGTTGAGAGAGTGATGCAAGAAAGTAAAAAGGGTCACACCGAGGTAAGACTTGAGGCGAGAGAAAACCATGAAAATAGCGTGGAAACAGAAAAAAATGTACGCAATGAGAGAAAATCAAAGTGTGGTGAGGGTGAGGATTTTTCTAACCCTTATCTCTCGTTTGTTCCTTGTGCAGGTTTAGAGGTTGATGATTCGAGGACGAATCCTCTTGAAGAAGGAGGGGATGATGAGAATCATGTAGCCTTCCATGGAGGTTCTCCTAGTGAGGGGAATGAGCTAGTCCTTCATTCTACTTTTGGAATGCCAAGTTTACTTTGCAGGCCAATCAAGGAAGAAATGATGGATCTTGACTACCTATGTGATAGGGAGTTGGTTCAAGAGAGCTATGATCAAGATGATGAGAATGTCATTAACTTTCGGGTTCAAACCAAAGGAGATGATGGCCTCATGGAAATAAGTGCTCAAGACTATCAAGGGAGTTTGACTCTATGTGCTCCATGAAGATCATTGATCAAGCTAGTGAGGAGTCATTTAGGTTCATGAATGGACGGCCTATTTGATCAAAGTGTTCAAGATTGAGTCCATTGCTACACAATTGGATAGGTTGCAAACTATCTCAATTGTTTCAAGTGTTTTTCCAATCTTTTGGAGTCAATAAAGAGAATTCTACAAGTTTTGGAGTAACATGGAGTTTCCTACTACTTGAGGGTGCAAGACCAATATTCCACTTTTGGAAGGGCGTTCAAGACATTTTACTTCAATAATTTGGAGCTGATTTTCGAGATTAGAGTTTGTCTAAGTTTAGGAGTTTAATTTTTGAATTTTATCTAGTTAAATAACTCATGTGGACTGAATTAAACTACAGTGTTTTGATTAGGAGTCTTAGATTCCTTCTAAGTATTATCCTATTTGAGGATAAGTCATTTAGATAAGGTTTCCTAGATTTTAGATAGAGTCAAAGAGATCAAATAATCTTCTACTTCTACTCCTGCGTGAGATAAGATTAGAGAGTCCTAATTGATCTTCTTTTTTGGTGCTCGCCGAATTTCCTTAGCCTATAAATAGGGGGCATGGCCAAAATTCAAAAGCACCCTTGAGTGGTCATTTTTGTTGTCTCTTTTGAGAGTTTTTCCTGTGAGGAATTTTTGTTAAATGGATTGTCGATTTTTCGTGTCATGTATGATTTAACCAAGAGGGTTTTCATCTTGTCTTGGATCTTTTGATCTTGCAGAAATGGTTCTTTTTCAAGTATAATTCTTGATAGAATTTTTTTAAAACAAAACTTCTTATTTTCATACTATTTCTAGTAGTTCGATTGATGAGCCTTTCTTTTGGCTTGGTGTTCGAATTCATGATGTGTGTGTTCATGAGTTCCATTGTGGGGTTTGTCCTACTTTTGTTGGATGAGTTGTGCTTTGGCATAAGCATTTTGAGATAGTGTATGTGTTGCATATCATTGTTGGTTATGGAGATTACTAATCAATAGTATTCCTTCATAGTTGAGCATTGTTTGCTCCTACCTTTCTTGAGTCTCTTGAATGATGACTGATCGAGTATATTGAATGGTGTCCTTGCTATTCTTAGTGTGGGTTGTTGTGTAATTCGAATCTTTCATGGATAATATGTTCTTTACTTGGTTTGAGTTAAGAGATAGAAATCCTTAGATAAACGATCGTCTTACTGTGAATTTTCCGCACTCTTTTGAGTTTCACGGGATAGACAACTTATCTTCGTACTTTCTTGTTTGATGGTTTCATTAACGAAATTTGCTTCATCTACGAGATTGCTACCTGAGCCATTCCGATATACGAGATGAGACTTGTCTATATGGGCCGTTAGGATAATTTGAAACCCTACATTTGGGATTTCGGAGCCATAGGCATGTGTTTGTTCACTCCATTTGGGCTTGAAATCATTCATTATATATCTTATAATTTGTACCAGGGTTTGAGCCATTCCGATGTACGAGATGATACTTATCCATGTGGGCTATTTGGATAGCTTCAACTGTACGTGAGGGTTTACGGAGCCATAGGCATGTGTTTGTTTACTCCATATGGGCTAGAAATCATTCATTATATATATTATAAGTTATACCAAGGATAGGAGTCATTCCGATGTACGAGATGTGAATCGTCCTATGGGGCATTAGCATTGCTTGAAACCGTACTGTGGGTTTACGGAGCCACATGCATGTGTTTGTTCACTTATTTTATGATTGAAATCATTCATTATATATCTTATAAGTTATACCGAGGTTTAGAGCCCTTCCGATGTACGGCATGGGACTTGTTCATATAGGCCATTAGGGTTGCTTGAAACCGTACATGTGGGTTTACGGAGTCATAGGCATGTGTTTGTTTTTCCATTTGGGCCTGAAATCATTCATTATATACCTTATAAATTTTACCAAAGTTTGGAGCCATTCTGAAGTACGAGATGAGAATTGTCCATATGGGCCATTAGGATCGCTTGAAACCGTACATGTGGGTTTTTGGGGCCATGGCATGTGTTTATTCGGTCCATTTGGGCTTGAAATCATTCATTATACATGTTGTAGGTTATACCAAGGTTTGGAGTCATTCTGATGTACGAGACGGGAATTGTCCATATGGGCCATTAGGATCGCTTGAAATCGTACATTTGGGTTTACGGAGCCATAGGCATGTGTTTGTTCACTCGAATTTGGTTTGAACTCATTCATTACATATCTTAGAAATTTTATCTAGGTGTGGAGCCATTCCGATGTACGAGATGAGACTTATCCTTGTGGGCTATTAGGATTGCTTGAACCGTACATGCGGGTTTACGGAGCCAGAGGCATGTTTTTTTCACTCAATTTGAGCTTGAAATCATTCATTATACATCTTATAGGTTATACAGAGATTCGGAGCCATTCCAATGTATGAAATATGACATGTCCATATTGGCCATTAGGATAGCTTGAAACCGTATATGTGGGTTTACGGAGCCATAGGCATCTGTTTATTCCCTCCATTTGGGCATGAAATCAATTATTATATATCTTATAAGTTATACCAAGGTTAGGAGCCATTCTGATGTACGAAATGAGACTTGTCTATATGGGCCATTAGGATAGCTTGAAACCCTACATGTGGGTTTACGGAGCCATAGGCATGTGTTTGTTCACTCCATTTGGGCTTGAAATCATTGATCATATATCTAATAAGTTGTACCAGGTTTGAGCCAAACCGATGTACGATATGAGACATATCCATGTGGGCAATTAGGATAGTTTGAACCTTACATGAGGATTTATAGAGCCATAGGCATGTGTTTGTTTACTCCATATGGGCTTGAAATCATTCATTATATATATTATAAGTTATACCAAGAGCCATTCCTATGTACGAGATGAGACTTGACCATATGGGCCCTAGGATTGCTTGAAACCGTACATGTGGGCTTACGGGGCCCTAGGCATGTGTTTATTCGCTCCATTTGGGCTTGAAATCATTCATTATATATCTTATAGGTTATATCAAGGTTTGGAGTCATTCCGATGTACGAGATGAGAATTGTCCATATGGCCATTAGCATCGCTTGAAACCGTACATGTGGTTTTACGGGGCCATAGGCATGTTTTTACTCCCTCCATTTGGAATTGAAATCATTCATTATATATATCTTAGAAGATGTACCAAGGTTTGGAGCCATTCCGATATACGAGATTAGATTTGTCCATATGGGCCATTATGATAGCTTGAAACCGTACATATGGGTTTACGGAGCCGTAGGCATGTGTTAGTTCACTCCAATTGGGTTTGCACTCATTCATTACATATCTTAGAAATTTTACCAAGGTTTGGAGCCATTCCGGTGTACGAGATGAGACTTATCCTTGTGGGGATAGCTTGAACCGTACATGTGGGTTTACGGAGCTAGAGGCATGTTTTGTTCACTCAAGTTGGGCTTGAAATCATTTATTATATATATTATAAGTTATACCAAGGATTAGATCCATTCCAAGATAAGATTTGTCCATATGGGCCATTTGGATTGCATGAAACCGTACATGTGGTTTTACGTTTGAAAAGAGCGATAGGCATGTGTTTGTTCACTTATTTTCGGATTGAAATTATTCATTATATATTTTATAAGTTATACCAAAGGTTTAAAGCCCTTCCGATGTACGACATGGGACTTGTTCATATAGGCCATTAGTGATGGAGACCATCGAGCTAACACTAATGGAGAGGGACATGTTGCTGACATTAATGGAGAGGATGAGCAAGTTGAGGTCGTGAATGCTAATGGAGGATCTAAATATGCTGCTTTAAAGAATAATTCTTACATCCGTGATCCACTCTCAAACATTGTAGGACCAATGACTCGTGCTAGACGAAAAAAGATGGATGAATCACTTAATAGTCTAATTGTTACTACATGGGCTAAGGAAGAAATTAAGCTTGAAGATTACAAGCCCAAGACTATTAATTTGTTGCATGTGACACCAAATGGACTTGGCCCATTTGGAGAGAAGGAATTTCGGCCCTCAATCCAAGGAGAGATGATGAGAATCATGTAGCCTTCCATTGGTGATTCTCCTAGTGAGGGGAATGAGCTAGTCCTTCATTCTAGTTTTGGAATGCCAAGTTTACTTTGCAGGCCAATCAAGGAAGAAAGGATGGATCTTGACTACCTATGTGATAGGGAGTTGGTTCAAGAGAGCTATGATCAAGATGATGAGAATGTCATTAACTTTGGGGTTCAAACCAAAGGAGATGATGACCTCATGGAAATAAGTGCTGAAGAGTATCAAGAGAGTTTGACTCTGTGTGCTCCATGAAGATCATTGATCAAGCTAGTGAGAAGAGTCATTTAGGTTCTTGAATGGATGCCCTATTTGATCAAAGTGTTCAAGATTGAGTCCATTGCTACACAATTGGATAGGTTGCAACCTATCTTAATTGTTTCAAGTGTTTTTCCAATCTTTTGGAGTCAATAAAGAGAATTCTACAAGTTTTGGAGTAAGTTGGAGTTTTCTGCAACTTAAGAGGCGCAAGACCAATATTCCACTTTTGGAAGGGCGTTCAAGACATTTTACTTCAACAACTTGGAGCCGATTTTCGAGATTAGAGTTAGTCTAAGTCTAGGAGTCAATTTTCGAATTTTTATCTAGTTAAATAAGTCATGTGGACTGAATTAAACTAGAGTGTTTTGATTAGGAGTCTTAGATTCCTTCTAGATGTTATCCTACTTGAGAATAAGTCATTTAGATTAGGTTTCCTAGATTTTAGATAGAGTCAAAGAGATCAAATACTCCTCTACTTTTACTCCTTGTGAGATAAGATTAGAGAGTCCTAATTGATCTTCTTTTATTGGTGCTGGCCGAAATTCTAAAGCCGATAAATAGGGGGCTTGGCCGAATTTCTTAAGTACCCTTGAGTGGTCATTTTTATTCTCTCTTTTGAGAGTTTTTCCTGTGAGGAATTTTTGTTAAATGGAGTGTCCATTTTTCGTGTCAAGTATGATTTAACCAAGAGGGTTTTCATCTTGTCTTGGATCTTTTTGATCTTGCAGAAATGGTTCTTTTTCAAGTATGCTTCTTGACAGAATTGTTTTAAAACAAAGCTTCTTATTTTCATACTACTTCTAGTAGTTCGATTGATGAGCCTTTCTTTTGGCTTGGTGTTCGAATTTCATGATGAGTGTGTTCATGAGTTTCATTGTGGGGTTTGTCCTACTTTTGTTGGATGAGTTGTGCTTTGGCATAAGCATTTTGAGATAGTGTATGTGTTGCATATCTTTGGTTGGTTATGAAGATTACTAATTAATAGTATTCCTTCATAGTTGGGTATTGTTTGCTCCTGCCTTTCTTGAGTCTCTTGATAGATGACTGATCGAGTATATTGAATGGTGTCCTTGCTATTCTTAGCGTGTGTCGTTGTTTAATTCGAATCTTTCATGGATAATGTGTTCTTTGCTTGGTTTGAGTTAAGAGATAGAATCACTTAGATAAACGATCGTTTTACTATGAATTTTCCGTACTCTTTTGAGTTTCACGGAATAGACAAAATTATCTTCGTACTTTCTTGTTGATGGTTGCATTAACGAAATTTCCTTCGTCTATGAGATTGCTATCAAGAGACTGCCGGCCACACTCCTTGAAAGATAAGACTTTATCTCTTTAAAGGATAATATTTGGGATGATTCCTTTTTATCTTTGCTTTTCAAGTTTTCCTACAATAACGACATAATTTATTGATGTCTACTCAACCATTGGATGAAGACTACATCAAGAATGATGGCTAAGATCACTCTACAAAGAAGATGATGATAGAGTTTTACTCAAGGGAGATTCTATCCATAGGAATGTTTTTATGAGATTATCTCTTTGTATTTGAGTTTTAATTAATTCCTGCATAGTTTTAAATGTCTTAAGACTAGTAAAAGTGTCTAGGTTTGTTATCTTATCACTTACGATAACTAGGAGTCTTTAGAGTTTGATTTGATTTCAAATTCTTAGAGATAGGAATAGAGATGAAGAGTTGTGTTCTTCCTCTACTTCTTGGGAAGAAAATTTGGCCACCCCCTCTATAAATAGGAACCGAATTTCTCTTGTCCAACACACATTATGTCATTGATATTTTCTGAGTGAAATTAAATTAGTTAGGATTTTATTCCTTTCGTGGAGTTCTTGTGAGGACTTCTTTGTTTAGTTATTGCATATGTGTTGTGACAATTATTTGACTTATCTATCATGTTTAGTTCACTTGATAGTGGCGTCTTTAGCTTTGGATCTTTCGAATTTTGGTTCTTAAGCTCATAGATCTCATATCTATTGGGTTTTCCTACACAATTTTCCAAGGGGTCTCTGCTTGGTTAGAAATAGCTCTCTTCATTCTTGATTTTGGTTGTTCTACTATTGAACTCGTGAATTGATCCACGTGAGATCAAATATCTTTTCTTTGTTTGTTTTCGTGTGTTTTTGTGTCATTACATTCGAATTTTCCAAATTTCGTTGCCTACAAATCTCTGTCTTTCCGAATCAGCAAAGTTGATCTTTCATTAAGATTGGTTTTGTCACGGATTGCTATCATATTTTGGTATCAGAGCCATAATTTATATATCAAGAATCATATTTTGGTTATCAGTGCCTTCTTATGGTTATACCATAGTTGGTATATTTGTTTATCATAGCCATAATTGGTATATCAAGAGTCATCTTTGGTTACCATAGTTGGTCTCCAAATTCGGGTTTCTTGTTCTTTCTTGTTTTTTTGAATTTTCCTCTCCCAAAAGAGGGTATTCGTAATATTTTTTTTTGAGTTGTTCACCACTTGGAAAATTCCTTTTAGTTTCGTGCCTTTCGTTTTGTTTATCATCCAATAGCAAACTTTGGTGATTGTGGTTGATATATATCTCTCGATCCAAGATCTCTATATTTTGGGGGGTGATTGATGTTCATTTATTCATTGTTGAAGGAGCTTTTGTGTTGAAGGTGTTTGTTTGATTTGGCCGTATATATATTTTAAAAAAAAGTTTTGTTTGAGTCTATGTCTCTTCTCGGCAGGCCCTATATTACAAAAAAAAAGGAGAAATAGCCGTGCAAAAAGAAAAATCAAGACTGCATAGAAAAAAGGAGTCTTCTTTGATAAGGTACATTAAAGGTTACCTTGCATTAGGAGATTTCAAAGGTTGCCTTGCCTCGTACATCGGAATGACTCCAAACCTTGGTATAACCAAAATGATAGTAATCTCATAGATAAAGAAAATTCCATTAATGCAACCATCAAATAAGAAAGTACGAAGATAATTTGTCTATCCTGTGAAACTCAAAAGAGTGCGGAAAATTCATAGTAAGACGATCGTTTATCTAAAGATTTCTATCTCTTAACTCAAACCAAGCAAAGAACACATTATCTATGAAAGATTCAAATTAAACAACAACTCGCACTAAGAATAGTAAGGACACCACTCAATATACTCGATCAGTCATCATTCAAGAGACTCAAGAAATGTATGAGCAAACAATGCTCAACTATGAAGGAATACTATTGATTAGTAATCTCCATAACCAACAAAGATATGCAACACATACACTATCTCAAAATGCTTATGCCAAAGCAAAACTCATCTAACAAGAGTAGGACGAACCCCACAATGGAACTCATGAACACACACATCATGAATTCGAACACCAAGCCAAAAGAAAGGCTCATCAATCGAACTACTAGAAGTAGTATGAAAATAATAAGTTTAGTTTTAAAACAATTCTATCAAGAAGCATACTTGAAAAAGAATGGTTTCTGCAAGATCAAAAGATCCAACTCTTGGTTAAATCATACTTGGCACGAAAAATGGACACACCATTTAACAAAAATTTCTCACAGGAAAAACTCTCAGTAGAGACAACAAAAATGACCACTCAAGGGTGCTTTTACTTTTCGTCCATCCTACCCTATTTATAGGCTAATAATTTCGGTCAGCACCAAGAAAAGAAGACCAACTAGGACTCTCTAATCTTATCTCACACAGGAGTAGAAGTAGAAGAGTATTTGATCTCTTTGACTCTATCTAAAATCTAGGAAACCTTATCTAAATAATTTATCCTCAATAGTATATTATTTAGAAGGAATCTAAGACTTCTAATCAAAACACTCTAGTTTAATTCAGTCCACATGACTTATTTAATTAGATAAATTTGAAAATAAACTCCTAGACTAGATAATACTTTAATTCTCAAAAATAGCTCCAAATATTGAAGTAAAATGTCTTGAACGCCCTTCCAAAAGTGGAATATTGGTCTTGCGCCCCTCAAGTTGTAGAAAACTCCAATTTACTCCAAAACTTGTAGAATTCTCTTTATTAACTCCAAAAGATTGGAAAAACACTTGAAACAATTGAGATAGTTTGCAACCTATCCAATTGTGTAGCAATGAACTCAATCCTGAACACTTTGATCAAATAGGCCGACCATTCAAGAACCTAAATGATTCTTCTCTCTCGCTTGATCTATGATCTTCATGGAGCACCTAGAGTCAAACTCCTTTGATACTCTTGAGCACTTATTTCCATGAGTGAATCATCTCCTTTGGTTTGAACCCCAAAGTTAATGACATTCTCATCACCTTGATCATAGCCCTCTTGAACAAACTCCCTATCACAAAGGTAGTCAAGATCTATCTTTTATTCCTTGATTGGCCTGCAAAGTAAACTTGGCATTCCAAAACTAGAATGAAGGACTAGCTCATTCCCCTCACTATGAGAATCACCATGGAAGGCTACATGATTCTCATCATTATCTTATCTTAAAAATATGATAAAATCTTATCCTTATCCTATAAAAGTTTGAGTTGGAGTCTGAGATATAACTGAGTTTGCTTATACTTTCAAAGCAAGATCCCTACTTTTCTCCAAACACTCGAACGAGATTCGTGGTCTCCCTCGTTCTTTTCTTGAATTTCCCTAAATTTACTCTACGTGATGAGAATCATATAGCCTTCCATGGTGGTTCTCCTAGTGCGGGGAATGAGCTAGTCCTTCATTCTAGTTTTAGGATGCCAAGTTTACTTTGCAGGCCAATCAAGGAAGGAAGGATGGATCTTGACTACCTATGTGATAGAGAGTTGGTTCAAGAGAGCTATGATCAAGATGATGAGAATGTCATTAACCTTTGGGTGCAAACCAAAGGAGATGATTCACTCATGGAAATAAGTGCTCAAGAGTATCAAGGGAGTTTGACTCTAGGTGCTCCACGAAGATCATTGATAAAGCTAGAGAGAAGAGTCATTTAGGTTCTTGAATGGACGCCCTATTTGATCAAAGTATTCAAGACTGAGTCCATCGCTACACAATTGGATAGGGTGCAAACTATCTCAATTGTTTCAAGTGTTTTTCCATTCTTTTGGAATCAATAAAGAGAATTCTACAGGTTTTGGAGTAAATTGGAGTTATCTACTGTAGGTTGTTTTCGTTCTAGTGCTTTGAATTGGTGGAAGCTAGTTTCAAATATCTATTCGCATCATTGGTATCGTAATTTGGAAGATTGGCATGATTTGAGGAATGCTTCGCGAGAAATATATGATGGTACTAACACCTTTGATGAAGCAAAAGTAAAGTTGCTCAATTGTAAGCAGAATGGTAGATCCGTTCAATCTTACTTTGAGGAGTTAGAAGGTTTGTTTCTGAGTTCGGGGGTGGATGAGAACGACTACATGTTGACAGATCATTTTCACTATGGCTTGGACAAGGGGTTCAAACAACACCCAAAGATGAGGAGGCAATCAAGGCCCTATGAGGCATACTATGCTGCCTTAGAAGTGGAGAGAAAGCATGATACTTCTTGTGGTTGGAATGGTCCAATTGAGGATCAAGGGTTGGTGTTTGGCGCTGAAGATGGTGATCAACGGACATGTATCTTCCGTACTAAGTGTTCGGTTGGGTGGTCCAATGAAGTTGATTTGGTAATCGATGGTGGGTCGAGTATTGATTGTATTAGTGAGGAATTTTGCATAGTAAACGGAATGAAGATGGATCCGCATACTAGACCATACAAGCTTCAATGGTTGAGTGAAGAGATGGTTGTGGATGTTACTAAGAGGGCCATGGTATCTTTTCAAGTTTGTGAGTATAGGGATGAAATTTACTTTGATGTAATTCCTATGTCTCTTTGTGATGTTTTGCTAGGTAGGCCTTGGCAATCAGATATAGATGTTGTGCACCATTGCTCGAAGAATATCTTTATCTTTACCAAAGAGGACAGAAAGTATATTCTTAAGCCTTTGGCTTATGAAGAAGCTGAATCTGTGCGAGAGAAAAGACGTAAGATAACCGATACACAAGGGAGAGAAAAAGTCGAGAGAGTGATGCAAGAAAGTAAAAAGGGTCACGCTGAGGTAAGATTTGAGGCGAGAGAAAATCATGAAAATAGCGTGGAAACTGAAAAAGATGCACGCAATGAGAGAAAATCAGAGTGTGGTGAGGGTGAGGATTTTACTAACCCTTATATCTCGTTTAGTCCTTATGCAGGTTTAGAGGTTGATGATTCGAGGACGAATCCTCTTAAAGAAGGAGCGGATGATGAGAATCATGTAGCCTTCCATGGTGATTCTCCTAGTGAGGGGAATGAGCTAGTCCTTCATTCTAATTTTGGAGTGCCAAGTTTACTTTGCAGGCCAATCAAGGAAGAAAGGATGTATCTTGACTACCTATGTGATAGGGAGTTGGTTCAAGAGAGCTATGATCAAGATGATGAGAATGTCATTCACTTTGGGGTTCAAACCAAAGGAGATGATTCACTCATAGAAATAAGTGCTCAAGAGTATCAAGGGAGTTTGACTCTAGGTGCTCCATGAATATCATTCATCAAGCTTGTGAGAAGAGTCATTTAGGTTCTTGAATGGACGGCCTATTTGATCAAAGTGTTCAAGATTGAGTCCATTGCTACACAATTGGATAGGTTGCAAACTACTAAATTGTTTGTTTTTCCAATCTTTTGGAGTCAATAAAGACAATTTTACAAGTTTTGGAGTAAATTGGAGTTATCTACAACTTGAGGGGTGCAAGACCAATATTTCACTTTTGGAAGGGCGTTCAAGACATTTTACTTCAATAATTTGGAGCTGATTTTCGGATTTAGAGGTTGTCCAAGTCTAGGAGTTATTTTCAAAATTTTATCTAGTTAGATAAGCCATGTGGGCTGTATAAAGCTAGAGTGTTTTGAATAGGAGTCTTAGATTCCTTCTAAGTATTATCCTATTTGAGGATAAGTCATTTAGATAAGGTTTCCTAGATTTTAGATAGAGTCAAAGAGATCAAATACTCTTCTACTCCTTGTGAGATAAGATTAGAGAGTCCTAATTGATCTTCTTTTAGTGGTGTTGGCCGAATTTCCTAAGCCTATAAATAGGGGGCATGGCCGAAAATCAAAAGCACCCTTGAGTGGTCATTTTTGTTGTCTCTTTTGAGAGTTTTTCCTATGAGGAATTTTTGTTAAATGGAGTGTCCATTTTTCGTGTCAAGTATGATTTAACCAAGAGGATTTTCATCTTGTCTGTGATCTTTGATCTTGCAGAAACCTTTCTTTTTCAAGTATGCTTCTTGATAGAATTGTTTTAAAACAAAACTTCTTATTTTCATACTACTTCTAGTAGTTCGATTGATGAGCCTTTCTTTTGGCTTGGTTTTTGAGTTCATGATGTGTGTGTTCATGACTTCCTTTGTGGGGTTTTTCTTACTTTTGTTAGATGAGTTGTGCTTTGGCATAAGCATTTTGAGATAGTGTTTGTGTTGCATATCTTTGTTGGTTATGGAGATTACTAATCAATAGTGTCCCTTCATAGTTGAGCATTGTTTGCTCCTACCTTTCTTGAGTCTCTTGAATGATGACTGATCGAGTATATTGAATGGTGTCCTTAGTATTCTTAATGTGGGTTGTTTTTTAATTCGAATCTTTCATGGATAATGTGTTCTTTGCTTGGTTAAGAGATAGAAATCACTTAGATAAACGATCGTCTTACTGTGAATTTTCTGCACTCTTTTGAGTTTCACGGGATAGACAAATTATCTTCGTACTTTCTTGTTTGATGGTTGCGTTAACGAAATTTGCTTCATCTACGAGATTGCTATCAGATTGCTTGTGTTAAAAGTATCTAATTTATATTGTTTTAAGTTTTTTTTTAAAAAATAATATTTTCAAAAATTAGGTCTTAGATTTTTCGAGTCAATATGTTTATGTGGTTTTCGTTTTTTGAGTTTCTTGAACTTGGTAGATGAAAAAAATTTGGTTGAATGCATGATTAGTATTTTTTGAATTTCATTTACTTGACTGAAACAAGGTTTTTAGTATTTAACTAAAAGTTTTTGGCCTTGATTTTAATTGAATAATTTTCAGAATTATTTAATGGTGTAATAGCCGAGATTTTGATTCCTATTTTAAGTGGGAAAATTGCTTATGTGTGAACATGTGTGTCTGCCGTGTTTTTCTTTTTTGGAAATACCAAAAGAAAATTTGTTTTATTCGCTAATTACCTATATAATAAGAGAGGAATTAAAGGAGTTTCCTAAAAGTTATTAAGGTATATTACTTGTTTATTTCTGTGTCTTTTTCGGCCAAAATATTTTTAAAAAGGTATGTTTCTTAAAATTATTTTTCTTACCTATTAAGTATTACTTTAAAATTAAATTTTCTGTTTTTGAAAATTTTTGACCGAATATGTGTTAATATTTTTGGGTGAAAACTTGGAAAATGTTTAGGGTTTTATTAATTGGGAAATTTATAATTATTAAAATAGGAGAATTGCCTAAAAGCTAATCCTATTCTTAATTGGAAAGTTCTTGTAGGAAAAGCCATCTCATGCCTATATAAAGAGGTATGTTGGTCGAATTTTTTTCATACATCCCAACCTCCAAATTTCTTTTTGATCTTTGAGCTAAAGCTTGCATAAGGTCTCAAGTTTGAAAGAATAACTATCACCCCTTAAAAGGTGAAAGAGAGTTTTTGCTAGTTAGTTGGGGTGTGTCAATTGTCGAATCTTCCTTTGATTCGAAGGGGGTTCTCGGATTCACATTATCAAAAATCCAAGGGAGTTTTTCTAGTTGAAGGTGATTATTTGCTCAACATCATGAGTGAAGTGATTGCTAAGACGAAGGTGTGTTCTCCATGCCGTGTCATTGAGGCGCGAGTGAAAGAATTGGAAACATTGTTGAAGAGTTTTGAAGTAGGTGACATTGGAGTTCATGATGAGGTTGTCAACAAGCAATTGGTGAACTTTAGTGAAAAGGTGCTTTGATGAGAATCATATAGCCTTCCATGGTGGTTCTCCTAGTGAGGGAATGAGCTAGTCCTTCATTCTAGTTTTGGAATATCAAGTTTACTTTGCAGGCCAATCAAGGAAGAAAGGATGGATCTTGACTACCTATGTGATAGGGAGTTGGTTCAAGAGAGTTATGATCAAGATGATGAGAATGTCATTAACTTTGGGGTTCAAACCAAAGGAGATGATTCACTCATGGAAATAAGTGTTCAAGAGTTTCAAGGGAATTTGACTCTGGGTGCTCCATGAAGATCATTGATCAAGCTAGAGAGAAGAATCATATACAATTTGGAAAGTGGTTTTTAGAAAGTATTCTAAAAGTTGTTGGACATTTTTGGAAAGTGGTAATTTTCAAGTTTCCTTTTTAAAATGAGTCAAAAGTAATTTTTCAAATTTTAACTATGTGGTAAAAGTTAAATTTCGAATTTTTGCTGATTTATTGCATGTGTGTTGCGTGTGATTTATGTGAAGTTCTAAGCCTAATTGGTTTTGAATTTTAGAGTCATAGTATAGCCGAAATTTTGAGCTAAAAATTCGGGATTCCTAGTCCTAGTTGAACTTGAATTTTGGTTGTCTATTTGTGTTATACTTTGAGACCTATTTGGTCATTTGTGTGTTCACATGGCCGAAAATTTTATCCCTAAAATTAAGGTCATTGAGTCCAAATTTTGTTATGATTTGAGACCTATTTGGTCTTGGACTTTAGTGTTCACATTGGCCGAATTTTTCAGCCATTGTTTCCTAATGGTAATACAATTTTATTGTATGTTTTATTTGAGTCCTACTTGGATTTAAATACTATTTTTTGCATGAGTTAAATTATAATTTCAGTGAGATTATAATTAGAGTTTTAAAGTGAGTCTATTTTCGAAAACTATTGAGATAAGGAAGTCTTATCCTAATCTGAAAATTTTTGAGTCTTCTAATACAATTGTGCTTGTGTGGCCGTGTTTTTGAGTCCTAATTGCAGTAGGGGGGTCGGATTTTTATCTCTAATTAGTAGGGATGAATCTTTCATAAGTTGTGTCCAAAAAGGATTATGATTACCTAAGTTTTAGGACTCTATTCTTTTCTATATATATGTGGCCGGATTTCTTCCTTTTTATTCCATCTTTTCGACTGAAATTTTATCAATTAAGGGGGGAATATTTTTGAGAATATTTAGATCCTATCTTGTAGGGGTTTTCTTGCACAAAAAGACTTGCATTGTCTATAAATAGGGGTGCTGTTTTTCAAAAATTCTCACACCACTCTACTCCATTCCTCTTCTTCTTCTTGCTGCCGAGTTCACAAGGGTAAAATAAGAGAAGTACTCTTCTCTTTATTCTGAATTTATGAGAGTTAGTGTTCTTAAAAGCACAAGAGAGTTTTTGTTTTTGGGGAGAGCATTATTCGAACCTTCCTTTGGTTCTTGGGGGTTTCGGCCGAACCATCATTGGTTCTATTGTTGAAGGAGTTTTTGTGTAGTCACAAAGGCACATTACTTCTTTTGTTGGTGGTTTCTCAGAGTTGTTGAGCAAAGATGTCATCCGGAGTTGCTGGTTATACTCAAGTTGCTTCAAAGAGTGTAGAGAGTCGCATGGAGGCTCAAGTGCAGCTCCTGAAGAGTCAAATTGACTACTTGCATGATGCTTTGTCCGAGGTAAATGAGGCAAACCGAGGCTTGTCTCAATTGCTTTCAAATCAGCAAGATAAAGCTATGGTAAGTTTTGAGAAAATTGCTGAAAATTTAAGGGTCTTATGTGATCGTTTTGAAGTTAAACAAGTACCCTCGTATGCTGGAATGTTGCAAGTGTCATTGCCTTTGTTTTATGGTTGTCATAGAGAATATGATACTTGGGAAAAGAGCATAGAGAATTTGTTTGTGTTGCTTAACATAGAGAAAGAGAGTGAGAAAATAGCCTTAGCTATAGGTTGTTTTCGTTCTAGTGCTTTGAATTGGTGGAAGCTAGTTTCAAATATCTATCCGCATCATTGGTATCGTAATTTGGATGATTGGCATGATTTGAGGAATGCTTTGCGAGAAAGGTATGCTGGTACTAACACCTTTGATGAAGCAAAAGTGAAGTTGCTCAATTGTAAGCAGAATGGTAGATCCATTCAATCTTACTTTGAGGAGCTAGAAGGTTTGTTTCTGAGTTTGGGTGTGGATGGGAACAACTACATGTTGACAGATCGTTTCCACTATGGTTTGGACAAGGGGTTCAAACAACACCCAAAGATAAGGAGGCAATCAAGGCTCTATGAGGCATATTACGCTGCCTTAGAAGTGGAGAGAGATCATGATACTTCTTGTGGCTGGAATGGTCCAATTGAGGATCAAGGGTTGTTGTTTGGCGCTGAAGATGGTGATCAACGGACATGTATCTTCCGTACTAAGTGTTCGGTTGGGTGGTCCAATGAAGTTGATTTGGTAATCGATGGTGGGTCGAGTATTGATTGTATAAGTGAGAAATTTTGCATAGTAAACGGAATGAAGATGGATCCGCATACTAGACCATACAAGCTTCAATGGTTGAGTGAAGAGATGGTTGTGGATG